CCTTCCTCCCTCCCTCCCTCCCTCCCCTTAGTCTTTCTGTCTTCCTATATTTCTTTTCCTTAACAGAAAGTATAGAGCTTTTCCACTATCAAGCAGATAATGCCCTCTTCTTTCTTCTAGTAATTTCACCCGGCAGCCTCACTTGGCAGGCACACAGGAGAACTTGTGCCTAGCTGAACAGATACAAGCAGAGTGGAAGGCATTTGGCCTAGACTCGGTCCAGCTGGCTCCTTATGACGTTTTGCTTTCTTACCCCAATGAGACAAATCCCAACTACATCTCAATCATTGATGAGCATGGCCAAGAGGTAAAGGAGAGAGGCTGGATTATGTATAAAGATTGGGTTCTCACAACATGATAGCCTAGGCTAACATGGCATTGAGTAGTTCAGAGTTAAGTGTGTTGTTGGAATCATTCCGTTGCTTTAATATGACTTAAGCCATCACAGAGACTATTTGGTCATTATATGTTACAGATATTGCATTTAGAGTATAGCTAAACTGGACTCAGTTAGATGGGCCCTTGGCAAATGTCCTCAAGTGTGCCAGTCCCTACATGAATTCCTATCCCATCCCTCAACCTTTGCCCTCACTCAAGTTGGATAAATCAGATGTTGCTTTTATATGCCATTTTTTCCCCTTGTGGTTTCTTTATTATCTAGATTTTCAACACGTCACTATCTGAGCCTGTTCCTGCTGGATATGAGACTGTTGAAGATGTTGTTCCACCTTACAGTGCTTTCTCAGCCCAGGGAGAGCCAGAGGTAAGGATTAAAAGGAGTTGGAGCTGGATTTAGACCTGGCAAGGCTCTAAGCTACAGGAAGATGTAGCAGCTCTATTTCACAAGTGCTAAACAGAGAATAAGGCTGTGTGACAACTGAACTTGGCATGGATGCCCCAAGAGGCATCAGAAAGCTGTGAAGGGATGGGCAAGGGCCCTCTCTGAACAGAAGGTGTGAATGCATGAAGAAACAAAGCATATCTGAATCAATCAATGAGGATCATTGTGAATCATACAAGAAGCCTTAATTTACAGAGACATTCATACATGAAATTATAATAAAACTGCAGAAAATTAAAAACAATTCTGAAATTTTGAGAGTCCCCTTGAGACTTGGAGGCCCTAAGTTGTAGCTTGTTTAGTTTATGCCTAAATCCACCTCTAATGGGAATAGCTTTGGTGTTATGTGAATATTCTTGCATTATGTAGTCCCTTTACTTTTAGGTATTTAAGTAGTTTGAAATAGGAGTTCCTAATCTTGTAAGGTTAGTGGGCATATTTGGGAAGATGTAGGCAGCCTTTGGAAAAAGCGGGCTGACTATCCATCTGCCTAGCCACAAAAGATCAATTTACAGGAGGCTAATTGGCAAGGTTTCTTCTCCTGTCTTCTTTCTCCTTATATCTGACCAGATTGTCACAGGCTGACATGGAATCCAAGATAAAATACAGAAATTCCCAGAGTCTGATGCTTTCCTTTCCAGCAAGGATCTTTCCTTTTTAATTTTGTATAAAATAATCTTACTAAAAAAAACACACAAAAAAATAACAAATAACAAGTAGGTAAGAGGTCTACAGGCACTTTGGTATCCATGAATACCAGATTAACCCAAGACAGCAACAGATACTCTTGAATTGCCAGAGGCAGTTTCAAGTGATTAAATTTGAGTCACACCCAGTCTGTTTACGATGGACTCAAAGCAAAGGTTTACCTGGACTCAGAAGCTAAGCAGTGCTGAGCCTGGTTAGTACTTGGATGAGAGACCACTGATTAAGAAGTCCCAAGACTGTAGACTAGCTGGGAAAGTTTTTTAAAAATCCAAAAGACAATCACAAACCATTTCTGTCCCATTGCCAAGAAAACTCCATGGATCTATCCATGAAGCTACCAGGAGTGAAGATGACTTGAAGGAGACATTACCTTCTCATAGAAGATTTTGGAATATGGTCAGAGAAAAATAAGCAGTTGAGATTTGAGATCCTTCACTTTAGGTAACTTCCTTCCTGATGAGGGAAAATTATCGTATCACCTCCACACAGTTACACACACATACTCCATACATGTACCTTATCTCTCCCATAGGGGTCCATTTGTATTTATACATTTGCTTTAACTCTGCATATCATTCAGTACCTTTGCAGCAGGAACATGTGGCCCCTGAAGTCACAGATAGTTGCTCCCAGAGGCTCTCCAAAAGTTTCCGCCAAACTGTAATCTTTAATGGGAAATTAAAGACATGGGGAGGAATGATTTAAATGGATTATACTAAATCATACATTATACTAAACTTAGGTTTTGTCCAAGCCCCATCTACATTTTCAAACATGTCTTCCAATGTGTCACTCCAGGTCCAAATGAAGCCCTTGGCTAGAAAAAAAAATAAGGCATATCAGCTGGTCAAGATTGGGGTCTAAGGGAAGTAGGTTGCTTAGAATGGCAAAGCAGAAATATATACAAAAGTAAATTGATTTCCCTGATTGATTGATTGATTACACTGTAAAATATAGGTATGAAGAGTTTAAAATAAATTATTATGTCTTTTGGAAGGACAGTGGGAGGTCCAAGCTCTTCCCTCTCCAATTCTTCCTTCTTCTCCAGTGTTGCAGATCTGGAAGACATTAGATGCTCCACTATTCTGGGCTGGTCTCCCCATCAAGCCACACACACACTTTGTATCTTCCTCACTTCATCTGCGTGTGTTGTTAATATGCCTTTTATATTCCAGGGAGATTTGGTATATGTGAATTATGGCAGCATAGAAGATTTCCACAGATTAGAGCGAGAGATGGGAATTAATTGTTCTGGGAAAATTGTCATTGTCAGATATGGGAAGATCTTCAGAGGAAATAAGGTAAGAGTGTATGGGCTTTGTTTTTCAGGCATGAGACGAACGCTCACAACACACCAAAAAAATTGTTCAAAGCTTGAAACAAGAATTAATGTACTGTTGGACTATTCCACTAAAAATACCATTTTCTTACATTCTTTTTAAAATCATAATGCTAGTGAATTCTTCTGCCCATTAGATACTTGCAGCACTGTCTAATGGACACCTATCTCAACTACTTTTATGGTCCTAGATGAAAAATGAGAGACCAAGATACAGTTTCCAGTTTTCATAGTTCCTGTTAGAAACAACATGGAGCAAAGCAAGCTGTTTTGTTCTTAGCTCAGAACTAAACTACAAAACACAAGATATTTTGTTTCAGACTTAAAACATGTGAACAGAGCAGTCTGATTTCAAAACATTTTGTAGCTTCTCATATGTGTCAGGTTCAGCCCAAAGAACTCCATGAGACAGTGCAGTACAGTTCTGTTGCATTTATTAGCTTTACCTCAATACAGAAATCTCTCCAGACTGAACCTAAGTTCCCAAGCCAGCAAGCCACAATATCCTGAATTCCTTAGGGTGGTGCCAGTTTCATCTTCTTAAACTTCCCATGCTCCTGTTGAGGCCTAAGGAAACGCTTATCTCCCTGAGCGTGGCCTTCATAACACCATTCCATCACAATATGGCACACAAAAAGAATTTACTGAAATGGACATGGTCGTTTTTTAATTTTTGGGTTTTTGTACTCTAAAATAAATGCTTGAACTGGACCAGGAGCACCAGAGACATCCATGGGCAGCTGGTTGTCAAAATCATGAAGATGGCAGTTGCAAACATGTGACCAAAGCCCCACCCCTTTTTTTCTATAGGACACATGTTAAAAAGGGGTGAGGTTTTGATTGGATAGCTAGGGCCACCATTTTAAGTTTTTTGACCTCCCCATTGGTAGCCCCTGAGGACCCCCACTCTTTAAAACAGAAGAAGTCCACCATTCCTGCCAAGAAGATTTCTCAGGGATGGGCCTTTCACCACTGTGGGGCCACCACAGAAAAGATTTATTCCAAAAACACTGCCACACACAGAATCTCAGTTTATGGAGGGACTTCTGACATTGATCTTGGGATGTGGCAGGCACGTACAGGAAGATACTGTCCTTTTGATACTGAAATCAGGAATTGGCAACTCAATTCCATGCAGTGCCCAAATTCCCTTTTTGTATCCTTCAGTGCCCCCTCAGACCCCGGCTGCCTAAAATGGACAGCATAGTTTTCCCACCAAGTTGTGGAAATACAGGCAAACAGTAGTGCAAACCCTAAAAATAATTTAAAAATCAAGGAAACTCCCCCCACCCTTAAAAACCTTCCTTGAAACCACCTTAAAAGAGGGTACAATGCTGAGGTTATAGGGCATAGCCTTCACTTATAGCTAATTCCACAGAGAGATATTTTTCTCTCCTTCTCTCAGCCGTAGAAGACAACGATGAGGTTGTTCTACCAGCCAAAACATGGATTTTTTTAGCTATGTTAATAAAATGATATAGTTCAATAAATCATTTTTATCCCTAGGTTAAGAATGCTTATCTGGCTGGTGCCAAAGGCATCATTTTATACTCTGATCCTGCTGATTCTTGTGCCCCTGGAGTTCAGCCTTATCCTGATGGCTGGAATCTGCCGGGAGGTGGAGCCCAACGTGGAAATGTCCTCATTCTGGATGGCGCTGGGGATCCTCTCACTCCAGGATATCCAGCTAAAGGTGACCTGAAAAGAGGTCTTCTAGGGATACATCCTAAAATAGGGATAAGCCGAGGTTCAGATAAATGTGAGAACAGCGTTCTAAGAAGATAGCATTTGATTTTGGTTTTGTTTTGTTGAATAAATATAACAGGGAGGGAATAATATAAAAAGTATAATGGATAAGTGAAAGGACAGCATAAACTACTCCACATATTCAGGTTCATATGTATGCCTCCTGACCTCATCATGTCACTCTTATACATACCTATGCAGAGGTTCACTTGGTGTTATTCCCAGTTATATTAACAGACCTTCACCTTGAGAAATCAGGTGTAAATCTGGGTGAGGAAAGCACAGGCATTCAGGATAAAGCCAACCCCATCTGCTGCCCTCCAGATATTTTAGCTCCAATCATCTTCTGCCCATTGGCTTATGGTGGCTCAGTTGAAAACATTGGGGAACACCAGGTTGGGGAAAACTGGTCTAGCAAACTGATCAAGAGTCTAGTGGAATAGAGTCACAGGAAGTGGCAATACTCAGCCAACCAACTTGAAGAATAAAAAGTAAGTAGGGTCTTACCTGGTCAGTACTGGAATGGGAGAACCCCAAGAAATTCTAGAGATGCAAGCCAAAATGGAAATTGGAGCAAACATCCTAGAGGAAGACAATGGCAAATCGTGTTCACATTGTTGTTGCTGAGAACAACATAAGGATTTGTCCAGGCGGTCACTAGGAGTCAGGCTTGACTCAGGAGATATGTTACTTGATTTGGGAAGATGTACCCACCAAAATCCTCCAACTAACCCTAACCCAGCAGATATTTTCATAATTTGCCCACCCAAGGAAATTCCAGCAGAAGCCTGTCCTTTTTTCCCTGCAATGCTCTGATGCAAAGAGGAAGCTACTAGATGTAAAAATGGGCAGCACTAACAGCCATTGGTTAGATTGGGAAGTCAGATAAACATCCCAAAAGGTGCCCATGGAAAGCCATTCCCCCTTTGCTACCAAGACAACTACATAGACACATTCATGTAGTCAACCAAGAGTCAAGATTGACCCAATAGAGTCTAGTGGAATAGAACTCATTAAAGAAATATCAACTTGAGATAGCCACAGTGCATTTGTGTAGGCCAAGGTTCCTCAAGCTCAGCAACTTTAAGATGGGTGGACTTCAACTCTCAGAATTCCCCAGCCAGCCATGCTGGATGGGGAATTCTGGGAGTTGAAGTCCACCCATCTTAAAGTTGCTGAGCTTGAGGAACCCTGGTGTAGGCCACATCAAAACATCTACTGGTGATAGGAAATAGACATGCACAGGAAACAAAACAGCCATTTGACTTTCTATGTTGGCATTACATTTTTGTCCTTCCTCCAAGCAACATGGGCAGTTTACATTTTAACCCAAGAAGCCACATGAAAATACCTGGATGACACCCACTCAATGAGCTTCAAGGCTGACTGACAATCCAGTGGGTGCTTCCAAGTCCAGGAAAATAAGCACCCACACCTTGAAGTATGTCAAGAGTTCTACCTGAAATAACTTCATTTGTTTTCTCATGTTTTTCAGCCATAAATGTCAAAAGCACCAGCTCAATCTGGGAATATATGGCCTGAAAGCGAATGATAAGAAATAATGCTGAAAGTGACAAATAATTTTCTTTTTTTCCTAATCTGGTTTAGCTCAAGAGCAGGGTTTTTTTTTTTTTCAATTATTGGGGCAACAGTTTTACATTTTTAATTATTCACCTGGAAGAAGCCCAGGTGCTGCAGGAATTATGTCTTTTTAGTCTTTTTTTTACTGGTCTTCATTAGTGTTTGGAGAAGTTATTATATTATTTTATTATTTATTCATCTTTTCTAGTGTTTGGAGAAAACTGGGGCAGTTTAAGGATAGAAGAAGTATGTTAAATCTCAACCTACCTATTTTGCCATTTTGTTTTAGGAAAAAACAAAACAACTAAAGTTATACTACTAAAAACCAGCAGGTTTTCTGCCAGATTTCACTAGGACAATTTAGATAATTTTCCACCACAAAAAATGTGGCTGAGGAGGACAATTAGGACTGTCAGGGGACCCCTGTTCACCCCTGCTTTAAATTATAAATTGGCTTCCCCCTTCATCCAGCAAGTATAAACAATTTTAGTAGCTTATTGCCATATCTTAATACAACATATACTCTCTTCACCCCATAACTCATATTTTAGCTAAAAACAAAATCCAAAACCCTTGTCATTTGTTTAATATCAACAAAAGTCCAGTAAGGGATACCAGATATAACTAATTATCTATTTTAATCTTGATTTAATAAGCCAACCCTGTATTCCTTCCATGTGCTTTCAACAATCTTAAATTTTAACCCCTTCAAATAAAGACTCAGAGCTTGATTTGTGATCTTCTTTTTTTTTGGTCCCAAGAATCTTTCAAAACTTTAACAGACCTCTTTTGTACATCCAGTAAGAGAAAGTTATCCAAATCACTTTTCTGATTTAGTAATTGTACATCTCCTTTAAGCAATGAAACAGCCAGTTTCGTTTCATCCAGTATATCTTTCTCCATATCTTTCTCATTGCTTGCCATATTGAAATCCACATTCAAATTAGTTTCAGACTTAACCAGTGTAGCTTGTCCTTCTGTAATTTCACTGACACACCCTCTATCATATCAAATAATTTCGAAGAGCGATGTTCAAAAATATCTATCAAAGTTTTTTGCTCCATTCTTTATTGATAAGACAAATGTATTATCCTCTAGCTTCTTCTAGTGTCAAATCTTTAAAGTCCCATTATCATGTTTTCTCTTGAAGAAAACTCAAACAATCACATTTCCCATGGGAAGGGTTCTTCTGATTATTTCAAAATTAGAATTCCATCAAACCTGGACCCTTAATCTGATGTTAACTTTCCAAAATTAACACTCTAAGCACCCTTTTGTTGTTTAATTCAAAAAGTAATATTTTTCCAAAACTTTAAAATCATATTTAAAAATTCTTTCTCCAAGGAGAAGGCAGTTCACCCAGTGAATACCATATAGCTTGCCATTCTGAAGGATGTTAATATTTCCAAGGCAATAAAAAAAAAAAAATAACAAAAATCAAAGTGATTAAGAAGTGAGGCTTGGTCAAGCTTTATGTCCTTAAAAAGTCTGCGTTCACGACTGTGAGCAAAGATAGTTCCTCCCTTGACTCCCAACTGCTCAACTCATAAGCAGATTGCAAAACATCCATTCCTGCGGTCTACTCACAAGGAACAGCTGTGTGGAGTCACATGGGCTATCTCAAGATCTCCCCTTTCTCTGGGGAGATATCAGTGGCCAGGATCCTGTATCCATCTGCCTATCTCCATAGTAACCATCCTGCTGTCAAAGGGATGTCTAGCTCGCCATGGCACTCACCGGAATTCTGCAACATATGGACTTTCCAGCACATGATCACATTTATTTATCTTATTTAATTTATTTTACTAGGCTGGTAAGCCCCTCCAGTTGAAGGCAATCCTCTTGAAATGTACAACTTCCATTTTAACTCAGATTAAAACACACAAGCATAATAATAATCCCAGAGGCCATGGGTAAAACCTATGGGATCACCTTCTCCCAGTAGCATCTTTCAGCCCAGTAAAGTCAAGTCAGGTGGACTTGCTCCAAGTCCCCTGTCTCAAGGACTGTCATTTTGCAGAGACTTCAGAAATGGACCTTTTCAACTGTAGCCCCCACTGTTTGTATAGGTTGGCCCCAAGCATCTGAACTGCTCTTTTAAAGGCATGCTTCTGAGGTTCCTGGGATAAAGGCATATGGCAGTCCCTGGGAGAAGGAAACTGGGACAAGTCCACCCTACTGGATCTTATCAGGGGACAGATGTGGCAGGGAAAAGATGACCCTGCAGTTATCCAGGCCCTGAACCATGTAAGGCTTTAAAGGTGACAACCAGCCTTTTGAATTGTCCTCACAATATAGTATAGTAATTGCTGCCTTTCTTACTCTAGAGTATGCATACCGCTTGGAAGAAGGCCAAGCACACTTAAATATTCCTGTCCACCCCATTGGTTATCATGATGCTGAGAAGCTGCTGAAGTAAGTCCCAATGATATGATCATTTTTCTTCAATGTTTAAGGTTGGTTGTATTGTTGTTTACAGTTTTCCTTCCATTTGAAATGGGATTTGAACTTGGTTTCCAGGAAGAACCTTTGGTAAAATTCTTGTGGTTTGGTATATAGGATTCTAGGGATTACTTTATTTATATGTTGGCTGAGAGGACACCCTGAGCATCTTTTCAAAAAATCCTTTCAAACAGAAGCAGAGAAATTGTCATGGGTGGGACAGGGTGTTCTAGTGTTTATTGGGTGACAAGCTGGCCAAGGGATGAGTGCATGTGAATGTCCTGTCTTTCGGTGGGCAATCTCTCTCCAACATCATGTTTCCATTCTGGCCCCAGGGAAGACATCATGGGATTTTTATTCACTGCATTTTTCTCATTATCAGTGCCACATTCATCACTAAGAATGATCCCTGTCCTTGAGAGGTTGTTGGAGAAGATCTCCTTCCCCTGGAAAAATTTAGAGAAATGATCCGCTTCATTTCTTAGCCTGAAAGCTTGGTGGATTTTGAAATCCCCCAAATTTTGAAAGGCTGTTTGTGGCAGGCTGTAAAGTTTCATGCATTTTAGGATTTCAAAAAATGGTGGAAGCTAGTGAGAACAATACAGTTTGTTTGTGAACAAACCACTATCAGGCCTGAAGTCTATAATGAAAAGAGTATTTAAAGCACAGGTAGGCAACCTTTTTGTGACCAGGTGTCCCACTTTGGTTTTCGAGTTACGGACCAAACTGGGGAGGTTTATTAGAAATGTGGACAAAACAACAATGAGAAAATAGGTGACACTGTGATGCTGAACACACTACTGTCCCTGGATATATTTGGTGAAATCTTCCAATAACTTTCGCCCCAGATTTCATAAATCTTGGCAACTTTTATTGTTGTGTATTACTGATTTCACTTATTCAACATCCCCCTTCCAAGATTTCTGTTATGCTGTCCATACAATTGAAGATTATTTTCCCAGTTAAAAGGGTTATGCAATTGCACAGTGAGCATTAAGTTTTTCCATGCTTTTTAAAGGCAAACATCTCCCTGCTCAACCATCACAATGTTTCTGTCCAGGGAGCTGCCTGTTAATGAAGCAAGTGCAAATTGGTGTTTCAGGAATAAAACTCTATTTCCAAGCATGCTTATTGTGCCTTCATGTGATGGCCCAGTTTACAGAATATTCTAAGACAATGATGAGGTTCCCCAAAATGCTGAACTGCAAATCTCCTAACTCTACTTTAGCCTCATTTGTTGGGTGAATCCAACCTTTGTTTGTAAAAGTGCATTATGCTATCAGTTTTTAAGAAGAGATCACCAGTGTTTTTTTTAATGGAAAGTCAGGGAACTCTTGAAATGTCTACAACACCACACTGAATATTAGTTGTGTAGAATCAGTCTGAGAGCCAGTTTGGTATAGTGGTTAAAGGCACCAGGCTAGAAACCAGGAGACCGTGAGTTCTAGTCCTTCCTTAGACATGAAACCAGCTGGGTGATCTTGGGCCAGTCACTCTCAGTCACTAGGAAGGAGGCAATGGCAAACCACTTACGAAATCTTGCCAAGAAAACTGCAAAGATTTGTCCAGGCAGTTGCCAGGAGTCAATACTGACTCGAAGGAAGCAAAACAACAGAGGCAGTTTGGTGTAGTGGTTAAAGGTGCTGAATTAGAACCTTTGAAATCATGAGTTCTAGTCCAGCATTAGGCACACAAAGCCAGTTGGGTGACTTTGGGCCAGTCACTTTTCCTCAGCCCAAGGAAGAAGATATTGGCAAGCCACTTGCAAAATGTTGGCAAGAAAATTGCATGGATCTGTCTATGTAGTCACCAGGAGTCAGGATTTCCTCAAACAACCATAACACAGCTGGATTACTGGGTAGGATGTATAGAGGAGAGGGAGAGAGGCAGGGATGGATCCTCTTTGAAGAAAACTCTCTGCATCGTAACAAACCTTTATTTTGCAATATCTGCTTATAAAAGAGAGAAATGAATGTTCGAAAGAACACGCTGTACAAGTACTTGGTTTTCTTCAGCTTTATCTCCTTTCCCTTGTTTTTCAAATGGCTTGCTGAGGATCTTTGTTTGCAGGCAGAAAAGTTGAAGGGAATGGGGAAAGGGAGCCAGTGCTTAACAGAAAGGTCAAAGATCATGTTCTTTCATTCGCCATCTCTTTCTGAAAAGAATGCAACATGCATTTCTCCAGCTGCATGCAACATCGTTTAGCAATATTTTAGACTCCTTAGATTTAGGATCTTCTATCACGACTTCCCAGTGATTTCCAACAAGACACGGCTTTCTCTTGCTGCAGTGGTGGCCAGTGGCCATCTCTGGTGGATCCATCACCATTCTAAAACATTCTAGGGAAGCATCCAGGGTCTCTAATATTGTGGGACACCACTGGGAAGGTGGCCTTTCCAATCCAAACCCAGATGATGAGTGACTATATTTGAAAATCAGTTTTCGCACTTGTTATGATTTCCTATTTGGGGATAGGGGTGGGGAAATTTGAAACCATAAAGCTGAAGTGTTGAGGGGATGATTGACAAAAGCCCTCTCCCCATTTCCAGAAATTATTTCAGATTCAGTGTCCTTGTCAGCAATGGGAATCTCTGGTCCTGGGAGATGGAAGAATGCTTTTCCTTTTAAATTTCAAGTAAACATATTTCCTGAAGTAAGAGGGTTGTAATGTTTCCTTTTTCCAACAGGGAAATGGGAGGTGCTCCTGCACCAGATGATAGTTGGAAGGGACAGCTTTCTGTGCCTTACAATGTTGGACCTGGCTTTACAGGAAGTTCTTCAAAAAGGTGGGGAGAAGTTTTACAGAAACTTTGGTAAAACTTGTTAAGAAATAATAAAATAAAAGGGTAGGGAGAAAATAACACCTTCTCTTTTAGAGTGGGATAGGGCAGGAGGTAACTGAGGACTTCTGGTTGATTAAGACCATCTCTCTCATGAGATGGAGTAAAACAGCTACTTTGGGTAATAAACTGGGAGGAACTGGGGTCAATCCAATTCCTGTTGTCCTCTCATTCTGCTACCAAACCAGGTTTGCAGAAGTCCTTAGAATGACCCCCACGATCGCAAAGAGGGCTGAAATGCCTATCTACTTAGTAACCATGTTCACACAACACATTAAGCCCACTTACTAAATTAAGCCAGTTGGCGCAGTACATTAAGCAATAAGTGATAGACCTACTTGTTCTCTCTGGCATTTGGGCCACCATGTTTGGTAAACCCTGTGGCTTGTTTTGTTTTGTTTCTTGTTTCTTATTGACTGTAAGATGGAATGAAATATTTGGACCTCTGCAACAGGATATACTGAATGATTGTGTTTGAGATTCCCTTTTTAATGAATGTGAGCTGTTTTGTTGTTTTCTGGTTTTAATTTCTTGTCAGCCACGCAAGATAGATAGATGGATGGATGGATGGATGGATGGATGGATGGATGGATGGATGGATGGACG